TCTGAACAGACTGTATTGATGCAGATCCTCAAGTTGGGATTACTGATATAGTCTTCGCGACTGGCCTTCTCCAATGTATCTAACTCTTCCAGAATCTCATCTACTCTCTTAGCATTTCCTAAGCCCTTGAACATGGATTTGAAATCATCCAGCAGCTCTTTCGGTTTCTCCTCCTCCCAAAGCCAGGACATGACCTCGTCGAATGCGTGCTCCAGGGATGAGGTGATAGGGTAGACCTGAAGGGATATATCACCCGTCGCTCCCAGCAGCTCGCAGAGCAGCTTTTCGCAGTCCGCAACGAGTTTGGAAAAATGAAAAGGCTGCATCCCTCTGAAAGGTTCTGGACCTGCCTTCATTTCTACTACCAGCGTCCCTCTGGTATCCTGAGACCTGATTTGGACAACCCTAAAGCAATACCTTTCGCTTCTTGTCAGTTGGGATGCGAGTTCATATTCGATAGCTTGCCCTGTGAATTTGTAGGCGTAAGTGTGGATGTTCCAAACTTCTTTGAGATACCGAACCCCCTCCTTATCCCGCAGACGGAACTCATCTTCTACACAACCTCCCAATGAGTGCTTCCCCTCTTCTCTCCACTCCGTCAGCATCTTGTGAGCACCGATACCTTCTGCAGCAAAGTCTATGTACAAATAGCTCTCCTGCTCCAGGAATGGCCCCTCTGTGAACTTGGCAATGTAGCTAATATTGGGTCCAAACATGGGGTGTTGCAGGCGCCCGGTATGTCTGCATTCCTGGTGGAATGAGATCTCCTCCATGTCGGTCAACCTCTTGATAAGCATGTCGAATGGCTGGGCGCCTTCGGGCTCGGACATGGCGGCCATGATCTCGTCCTACCAAGCTACTCTTGCAACTGAACTCAGGACGGTAACGGTCATTGAAGGTTTCGAAATTTCTGCAAGTGCTGTGATAAAAATCATAATAGCCCTTTGGGTCCAGACGCCTGACTTTGCAACGTGGTGATCTAGAAGCTCTCGGAGTTCGGACGCCTGTGACCACCACGTCTCACGTGGCGATCTGGAGCTGGATTCTCGGACGCCAGCGTCCGATGATGATATATTCTCTGGAGTAGGAATTTCTAGAAGTTCCGTTTTTGTGTTATACGGTAATGGTCACGGACGCCATCGGTAACGGCTTCTAGGGGCTCTGTGCAGCCCAGGGGCACTTTATAATAAGGGGTTTTTGGTGGCCTGTGTGCCACATGTCATTAGGGTTGCTGTCCACTTTATTATATAAATAGTGGACTTGAAGCGCCTCGTGTGGTACTCTCCGGTCAGATTACCACCATACCGTGCTGTTGGTCCTGTTATGCTTTTTGTGGTAGCGTGTTGAGCATATCTTCGTCGCTGGTTCCCTCCTTATGATGCCGCTTGTGCAAGTGAGAACGTCCATCCAAGATGGGTTCCGTGGAGGCAGTCAACTCGGAAATAGCTCAGGTGAATGAATGTATCCAGCTTCTAGCGCCGCAGATTCAAAAAGCAAAGGAAAAGGTCGAGGGTGCGGAGAGAATCAACAATTTGGAAGCTGTGCGACGGTGGTCCATAGAGCTACAGCAGTTGCGTGAGACGGAGAACAAAATGCGCGATGAGAAGAACAAGCTGCTAGACGAGAGGGTCCGACTGCAATCTGCAGGTTTGTGACCTTACCTTTGGAGTATGAATTTATCTATCTGTTCGAGGGTACATCCTTCAAAAAGTTCGAGTCTGTCCAGCACATTGCACTGAACATTATCTTGTTCTGCGCAAACTATAACATTATTACAG